CCAACTCGTGTTGAGGGTTTGCGTGTTTCTGAGGTAAAATCAAAATATCAGGTTTGGTCCCCCTTATGTTGTAATCATGTTATTTAACCATTAATGCATATTTTTTTATATTTTAATTTAGGCCACTGGTTTTTAATGTTTTCATTATGGTCACTAACTTACATATTATGTTTGATAATCCTTTATTATTATTATTTCCTTTTTTATATTTTTTTTTCAAATTTGTTTTTCATATTGCTTTCATTTTATTTAACATTTTTATCATTATTACTTTTTCCTTTATTTATTTATTTATTTATTTCCCTTAAATTTATTATTTTTTATCTTTGTTTTTATTTTTAAAAAATATTTTTATTTTTTTTTTATTTTTTTCATTTTTATTTTATTCCTTCTTTGATTTATTATTTTAGTTAGTGTTATTTTAGTTAATATTTTTTATTTTATCTAACATTTTCCCCTTTTTTTAGAATAAATTCCAACCAATCAATGGTAAGCAATTCGAACCAAATTTTTAAATTTCAATTTAAATTTTCAATCTTCGCAATTAAAGACAACCGATAAATTAATTGATACCAAAAGGGCGGTTCAAGGGTGCTAATCATTCCTTGACCGTAACCGACTCCCGAACCTGACACATTTTACAGATCAGGTATAATGGTGTCCAATCTACCTAATTGTTTTTAAATGATTGGTGGCGACGCTAACCCAATTATTCAAGTCGAAGCCCAATTCCGGGCCCAATCGAAAGGTGGTTCCGACACCTCTGTAGTAGAATTCTGCTTTATTTGGGTTAGTGAAATTTAGTAATTCATCCCAAAGAAAGGTTTAATTTTTAGTTTAATACTAACCCTAATTTTTTTGCAAGATGATGTAAATGATATATTGTCCAAAGTAGGTGATATGAATAAATCCTCTAAGAGGAAGTCAACTGGTTCATCTGAATTTGGGAGAAGAACCTCTCCTGTTTGGGACCACTACACATTCACCAAATCAGATGATGGTCCTGTTTATGTCGAGTGTAGGTATTACAAAGTGAAAAGGTATAAAACTGATTCTTATATTGGTACATCTAACCCTATAAGACATACTGAGAAATGTCAAGCTTATAAGAATTTTCTTGCTGAAAATCTTGGTAGTGTAGCTTCTTTTTATCAAAACAGATACTGTGAATTGTTTGTTGAGGCTATTATGTGTCATGGTTATGCAGATAGTATTGTTGATCATGAAAAACTTAGGGATTTACATCATTACCTTAATTCTTCTATTAAGGATATATCTAGGTACACTGTTACTAAGTATTGCATGTTGGAGCATGTAAAGCATAAAAAATTATTGCTTGATTCAATGAATTCTATCTCAAGTTGTGTTTGTTTTACATGTAATGGTTGGTCTGTATGCACTTCACGTTCTTATTTTGCCCTTACTGCTCATTATGTTGATAATAACTGGAAACTTCAGTCTAAAATACTTAATTTTCGTCGTTTTCCTCCTCCTTATGACAATGAGTCTATCTTTAAGTTTGTGAAAAATATGATATGTGAGTGGGGTCTTGAAAAAAAAGCATTTACCATTACACTTGATAATGCTTCTGCAAATGATAGAATGGTTAAGAGACTGAAAGATGATTTGAATGTCATTTCTCCTCTTCCCTGTAATTGTAAGTACTTCCATATAAGGTGTGTTGCCCACATTTTGAACTTGATAGTTCAAAAAGGTTTGAAGGTAATTGATTCTTCTTTTATTAAATTACGTCAGATTGTTAAGTTTATTGATTTTTCTGATTCTCGACTTTGTGCCTTTGAATTATCTGTTAAAGACTATGATTATTCTTTCTCTAGTAAGTTAGTATTGGATGTTCCTACTCGTTAGAATTCTACTTACTTAATGATTCATAGGGCACTTGAGGCTAGATTAGCAATTACCTTGTTTGTTAATAGGGAAAATGAGTTGGATATCATTACTGATCATGAATGGGAAACAGTTTAGACAATATGTGATTTTCTTGAGACTTTTTATGAAATTACTACTCTGTTATCTGGTTCTAAGTATCTCACTTCTAACTTGTATTTGGCTAATGTTGTTGCAATTGAGAAATTGTTGTGTGATGCTCTTAATGATCCTTGTGAAGATATTTCTGCAATGGCAGGACCCAGATTCTGTCTTTTGCTATTTTACTTGATCCTCGATATAAATTACAACTTCTGAAGGACTTGTACAATGGTCTTTATCTTGAGGATGAGGTTCAACGGAGGGTAAGTCTCATTTATGATGAGTTTCTTTAGTTCTATGTATTTTATTAAAAAAATTTCTTCCTCTTCTTCTTCTATCCAAAGTAGCACATCCTTGAACAGAAGTGGCTCAAGTTCCAATCGGCCTCAAACATTTAGAAAAAGATTTATTTTAGGTTAGTTAGTATAATTTCTAGTTGCATTTTAACTTATTTATTTCCTGTTTTCATTTACTAATTTCTTGTCTTTTATTTTTCATAATTTTGATGCCAATTTAGTTGATTTAAGGAGTGGACGATCTGATGTTGACTCTTACATCAATTTACCCCTTGTCCCTCGTCTTGGAGAATCTGATTTTGATATTTTGGATATTGTAATTTCTCGCATGACAAAAGATATATTAGATATTCCAATTACTTAAGTTGCATCTGAATCGTCCTTTAGTACGAGGGTAGAATTTTGAACAAATTAAGAGCTTCACTCTTACAAAAAAATGTTGAGATTTTTGTAACAACCTGTAATTGGTTGTATGGTTTTGAGCCGGAAGATAAGGATGAAGGCTACCTTATTGTGGTTAATGAGTATGTTATGTAAAGGTATGATAGAATTGTTTTAATTTTATGTTAATCTCAATATTTCAAATTGTTTATTAATTAATTTAATTTTAATTTTAATTTTTTAGGGTGTTTAACGTTAAGTGAAACAATTGGAATTGAAGATTATGTCTTGTTTCTTCCCTTTACAGGTAACTTCTATTTATTAATGATTTATTATATTTATTATGTTTAACAGTAGTTGAAACCAATTTTTATTGATGTTTATTTTTTTGTAGGATGTTTCTATCCAAAGTAACACATCCTGATTCTGCTTGATATTATTTATGTTATTATAAACAATGTTGAATGCTTGATTCTTTAAGAGTTTGGTAAAGTCGGAAATGTTTGGCCTGTTGGCCATCGTATTCCCTTTGGCTTTACCGCTGACTGCATGTTTGTTTAATGCAGAAATGTTGCATGTTGCTACCTTGTAATTTATTTTTGTTGGTCTGACTTAAATAGATTGTTGTAACTTGTCATTTTTTTTAAATAACTACTCGTGTTAAATTATGTTGGTCGCTTTAAAAGTTGTCTGTTATTTAACAATGTTGGCAACATTTAGATATTTCAATACAAAAGCTCGATGAAGAAATTTATGGTAGCAAAGTTAGGCTTTTAGCCTTATAAAACTTTTGTTATAAGATCTGAGAGCTTAAAAAACATTGTTTTTGTTCATTTTATTGTATTCAACTGTAATAACTCAAATCTTATTCAAATTTCAGATCAAATGTTATTTACATTATCAATATCAATTAAGTTTATCCTTTTTATTATGTTTTATGTATTTTATAATTGTTATATAATTTTCCTTTACCTATATTAAATTGTATAATTTACATTTATATTTTAGAGAATTAATCACGTTCAATACCAATATTCATTTATTATCAAATTAATTATCATTTCAATGCCAAAATTAATTGTATTAATCATGTTAAACACCAATATAAATTACATAATAAATGCTTACATTATTAATATTATTTTTTCTTTACATAAATTAAACTATAAAATTTACATAAATTAAACTATATTAATTTAAATTTAATTATTGTTCAATGCCAATAATTTTATTAATCATGTTTTATATAATTTACATTTAAAAAATTTATTAATTTTATTAAATAATTTTATATAATAAGTCTATTTATTAATTTAATTATCATAATAAATATTTTATTATAACATTTAAAAATTAATCATATTAATTTATTAATAATATCATAAACTCAAAAACTCACAATTTTATTAAAATCTTATAATTTCATCCATGGTAATATATAAGTTAGATAAATGTCAAGTCAGGTAAATATCAGATTAGGTCAGGTAAATATCAGATCAGGTCAATAACAAGTCGGAGCATTTACATGTTAGGTTCATCACAGGTCAGGTTGAAAACAGGTCGGGAAATAACAGTTATTTACTAGATCAATCTCCGGTTCGGGTTCATATCAGTGGGATGCAGGTCGGGTTCAGATCCACAACTTCCAGGTCCAACTCGGGTTCAGGTCAACACCAGTACCGACTCAACTCGGTTTCGGATCGATACAGCGCATGTTAAAAACAGTTTTGACTCCAGTAAATTTTAGTCAGTTTTGCAGGCCGGGTCAATTTTTTCCAGCCCTAAATCTCACTTTTCGTTAACGAACTTTTTAACATGTTAGTAAGATTTTATATTATAAGATAAATTTATATATTTTTTTAAAGAATCGAAACAGATTTTTAATATAAAGAATTTAAAAAAAGAAAATTTAAATAATATGAAAATTTAAAATTTTAGGTAATGATTGTCCTGCCGCTCCTCCTCGGTCAATCCTTTGTTCCACTACCAATCTCTTTCTTTATTCAGCTTCCTTCAGCTCCCGAGAAAATCCCCGTCAAATTGCAAAGCTTTGCAGAAAGGGAGCAAAAGGTAAGAGCAAAATGAAGGGGGAAAAGTTTAAGCTTAAATTAAACAGGTAGAGTTTGGTCGTTGGGTGCGGCTTTTAAAAAGAGAGGCGTATGCAACTATCCATGAGAATTAGTGGTTTCTCTCTTTCTATAAAAGAAAAAGGCTCTTAATATTGGAGTCGTGTGATCGAGTCTCATGGTGTGCATTTTATAAATTTGGAGGTCTCCTACGGAAACTGCTCTCAGCTTGGTGTTGGGGGCAACCTACTATCATACCTCCCCTTACCCCGTTACATATGAGAATAAAAATAAACTAATTTTTTTCTTTCGGTAAAAGCATGACACAAACATCCACCAATAATTACCTTTTTTATGTTCATTACTTCATTTGTAAGCTTTTTTTCAAAAAAGAAAAATAGTGAGCAGGAAAAATAATTAGGAAATACAATCATCTTCAAATTATTTAATGAAATATGATGAATTATATAATAAGATTAAAATTTATGTATTTTTCACAATTTTAACAAAAATATTATCTCTTAGATCACTTTGACTCTTACTCTTAGAATGAGTTTGTTGAAAATATTAATAATAGGTGATACTTCTAAAAAAAATTAACATCCTAAAATAATTGTTGCTATTTCTAGAGTTTTTGTATTCTGATTATGAATATTTATAAATTCTGAAGCAAAATAAAAAGCATGAGGATAAATAGAAGGATGAGAGAAAGAGCGAAAAAGAAACAATAATGAAATGATATATGATTCAAATATGTAAGATCTATGAAGTATCTCATAAAGAACAATGTAATAGAACGTCAATAGAAATTCATCAATAATTAGATGAATATCTGTTCATTGAATCAAAAATCAAGAGCCTTAACTTAAGTCGATAAAGACCGAGAAGGTTGACTCAAGACCCAATTTTATTTTATTTTTATTAAATTTAATATTAAGTAATAACATTATAAATTAAAGAGTATGAATGTTCAATATCGATGGTCAAGAGTTGTCACCTTATACTTACGAGATTAATAAAAGAATCTTAAAAAGACGAAATTATCACACAATTAGTATAAAAAAGATTTCAATACACTAATAAATTGATCAACTTCCTTGTTGAACTTGCTGCAAATGAAAAACATCAAGTTAACGTTGATACTCTGTTTCCGCTATAGCAAATGAAAAAAAAATCAACATGCTTTGTCTTCGCATGTAGCACTAGCTTTACAGCTATAGCAATAGTTCTGCCATTGCATTGTGTACTCCCATATCCTTTAAGACTGCCACCAGCAAAACTTCGATACGCTGTTTCCGCTGTAGAACACGAGTCTAGACATACGACTTCTTTATCTGACGGTGCTTGTGATGCAGGGGGGATCCGAGACAGATGATGTTGAGCTGTCAGATTGCACGTTGATGGCGCTGAGATACCATGAGTTGGCAGATCAGCGCAAAGGCGGGAATTGATTGTGGCATGTTCCTCATTGGGGTCGTTTTGAGTATGTTTCAGTCTTTTGGCCATAACTTTGGCTACAGGTGTCAGAATCGCGCATAAGACCCCAATCCGGAAAGCTCTTTTCGACGCGCACGTTCTCCACATACGCTCCATGTGGCCTTTTTTTCAACCACAAATTCTGCCGTTTTCCCCTCCGAATCACTAGATTTAGTTATTTTTTACTATTTATGGTAATATTTCGATTGTTAATTAGGAAGTCAATTTAAATCCGATTTAGGCCGGATTTTTGGGAGATTGCTTATTTTATTTCGAATTTTAATTTAGAGTGATTTTCGGGATTTTGCTATTTTTGGCAAAATTCGAATAAAGATGATTTTTTTGCTATAACAGTCCGGCTTGTGGACTGCTTTTTGCATTGTTTGATTTTATAATATTTTATTAAACCCTAGAGACTTTTTTTTTCTCTGGTTTTTGGGCGAATTTTCTCTTGTGAATCGTATGTCGAAACTAGCCTACAGGATAATCACTATTCTGTCTGGCGTCAGCTTGCCTACCGTATATTGTTGTCTAGTCTCGTATGTCGTAATTCATATTTTCCTTCGGTTAAACTTGGAGATAACAGGGAGTTAACACTAAACTTGATTAACAAGTCATTCGCCCAATGTAATGTCAAAACGAAGCATGTGCAAAGACTTGCAAAATAATATATGATACAGTTGTTTCATACGAGTCAAAATGAATGGCCATGTGAACTTTCTTCATATGCCTTGCTCTATAATGCACAAAATGAGCAGAACACATGTAGGTGTCTTCTTGTTTTTTAATATCTGTAATTGCAACAATTGTCAAGTAACAACAATTGGGCTTATTGTTTATGATCTATTCACGACTCTTCTGTTGGGAGAGAGCATGTGGATGTGGAAAGAACGTGGGAATAATTGAATTAGCCTCAGAAATCTCGAGTCTTTGCGGGCATAATTCAGTTTTTTTTTTATGTTAATTGAAATCGAGTTGGAGGGATCGCATGTGAGGTTGTTGATTTATTTAAAGCCCCAATTCTTCAACTTGGAAAGGCCAACAAATGTAAAGTACATTCATTCCTTTTCTATGTGATACTCATCATTTCCTCTTTGTTCTCCAGCATTTGTCATCTTTTAACCTACTGAAAATGGCCAAATTTATATTTGCATTACCAATTTTGCTTGCTCTTGCTAATAGTGTGAGTGGCTATATGTTGAAAATTCAATATTAGCCTAAATAAGTTCGCACCTAAATTAATTTGATGTCATTGCTTACATCAATTTAGTTTTGATGTCATTGCTTACATCAATTTAGTTAGGTGAAAATTAAGTATTTTTCTCATGTTTTTAATTTCAATGGTTTAGATTATTTAGTGATTATTTTAATGAGTGGTTTAGATTATTTCTTGTAACCTATAAATACCCTACTTGTATTTGAGTTTTATCATCCAACAATCAAAGCTTAATTATAAACATTTGAAAGCTTTTTTAAGAGTTATTCCCTTTTGCAATTTTGTGAGATTATTCTAAAGAGAGTTTTTATTCTTCTCGATCAATTAGAGTTTTTACTCTATTTTGATTCTACAATTGATATCAGAGCCACGTTTTTAAGGTCTCTTGAAATTCCAAGTATGCTCTGTGGCTGCAGTTTTTAACTGATCTTCCACATCAGAAAAGTTTTCTTGAGATTATTGTCGGGGTTATTACAAAGGAGCTTCTTTGTGCTTAGAGTAATTTAGTACTCTGCACGTTTGTTACTAAAGCTTGTTCGGTGTAGTCAAAGCCTTGCCATTAAGATGGGTGATCTTCAAGCAGTTGGAGGAATCAAGAAGCTCAACAATAAAAACTACAACACGTGGGCAACATGTATGGAGTCATACTTACAAGGTCAAGACCTTTGGGAGGTTGTCGGTGGTGGTGAAGTTACACAACCAGCGGCAGAAGATGCCAATGACATCTTGCGAAAGTGAAAAATTAAAGCAGGCAAAGCAATGTTTGCTTTAAAGACCACAATTGAAGAAGAAATATTGAAGCACATCCGGGATACTAAAATACCAAAGGAAGCATGGGACATTTTTGTTACACTCTTTTCGAAGAGGAACGATACAAAATTGCAACTTCTCGAGAATGAACTTCTATCAATGGTGCAACGCGACATGGCGGTTGCCCAATACTTTCACAAGGTGAAGTCGATATGCCGCGAAATTTCAGAATTAGATCCGACAGTTGCTATTGGGGAAGCCAGGATAAAAAAAATAATTGTCCATGGTTTGAGAACCGAATATCGAGGGTTTGTTGCCGTTGTACAAGGATGGTCGACACAACCATCCCTTGTTGAGTTTGAAAATTTGCTTGCAGGTCAAGAAGCCATGGCCAAGCAAATGGGAGGAGTCTCGCTGAAGGGTGAAGAGGAAGCGCTCTACACCAGCAAAAGCAGAGGCACTTTTCAGCGGTATACTGGCAGTGGATCTAAAAAGGATGGCGACAAGGTGAAAATTTACCAAGGAAAAGGAGGCCCTCATTCAGGGGGAGCATCCAAGAATCACGGTAATAGTAGAAAGTTCGATGGCAAGTGTTACAACTACGAGAAGATGGGTCACATGGCAAAAGACTGTTGGACCAAGAAAAAGCATGTTGAAAGTAATACTGCTACTTCGAGTTCGAAGGAGAATAGTGAAGATGGTTGGGATGCTGAAGCGTTATTTGCTATAGAAGAAGAAGAATTAGCTCTCACGGTAACAACACCAGAACGGATTGACTACAAGAATGATTGGATCGTAGATTCGGGCTGCTCAAATCATATGACGGGTAACAAACAGAAGTTGCAAAACCTGTCTAAGTATAATGGAGGTCGTATGGTGGTGACAGCTAACAACTCAAGGTTACCGATAACTCACATCGGTAAGACAATATTTACGCCTCGATATAATACTAACCAGTGGAAACTTCAAGATGTTTACCACGTCCCAGGAATGAAGAAAAATTTACTATCTATGGCTCAACTAACATCATCAGGCCATTATGTCTTATTTGGTCCCCAAGACGTGAAGGTTTATCGTGACGTCAAAATCTCAGAAACACCAAAAATGGAGGGACGACATTTGGAGTCAATTTACGTGATATCAACAGAGTCTGCATATGTAGACAGGACAAGAAAAAATGAGACATCAGATCTATGGCACATGCGGTTAGGTCTCGTTAGCTATTCCAAGCTAAGTGTGATGGTGAAGAAGTCGATGCTTAAGGGGCTTCCTCAACTAGACGTGAGAACATATACGGCCTGTGCGGGATGCCAGTATGGTAAAGCACATCAATTACCATATGACGAGTCGAAGTTTAAATCAAAAGAACCATTGGAGTTGGTTCACTCTGATGTGTTTGAATCAATTAAGCAACAGTCAATTAGCGGTATGCGGTACATGGTAACATTTATTGATGACTTCTCCAGGTATGTATATGTTTTCTTTATGAAAGAAAAATCTGACACATTCTCAAAGTTTAAAGAGTTCAGAGACTCAGCTGAAGGAGAAGTGAGAAAGAAGATATGCTTCTTGCGCACAGATAACGAAGGAGAATATAGATCAAATGAGTTCTCTCAATACCTAAGGGAGTGTCGAATACGTCATCAGTACACTTGTGCCAACACGTCACAACAGAATGGTGTAGCAGAAAGAAAAAACCGGCATCTTGCAGAAATTTGTCGAAGTATACTACATGCAAAGAACATACTTGGAAGGTTTTGGGCTGAAGCAATGAGGACTGTAGCCTTTGTGATCAACAGACTTCCTCAACCAAGGTTAGGATTTGTTTCACCCTTTGAGAAACTATGGAATATAAAACCTACAGTTAGTTACTTTCGAGTATTTGGCTGTGTATGTTATGTGTTTGTTCCTGATCATTTACGGAGCAAATTTGACAAGAAAACTGTTAGATGTATCTTTGTGGGATACGACAGCCAGAGAAAGGGGTAGAAATGTTGTGATCCAATTAGTGGAAGATACTACACGTCACGAAATGTGGTATTTGATGAAGCATCTTCTTGGTGGTCTTCGGAGAAGGAGGTGTTGCCAGATTCGAGAGAATTTGGAGACAAGCTACAACAAAAGATGGGGGAGCATGTTGTTCAACTCCAAACAAGTTAAGATGAATCAAATGATCCAAATGGCGATGATGTCGAATGAATAGTGACTCAGAATCCTTGGCAAACTGGCGTGTATCAACAACCAAACGAAGAAGGTGGGCCTAGTGAAACAAAGAATCAATTCAACAATCTCAACTTCGCAGGTCAACAAGAATATGAAGGCCAAATCCTAAATATGTCAATACAACCATAATTGAAAAAGTAACAGAGCCTGAGACGTTCGAAGAAGCATCACAAAGTTCTGAGTGGATGACAACTATGAAAAAAGAGATCGACGCACTTCAGCAAAATCAAACTTGGGATCTTGTGCCAAAGATAAAAGATGTGAAACCCATATCTTGCAAATGGGTTTACAAGATAAAGCACCGTCCAGATGGTTCAATCGAGAGGTACAAGGCACGATTGGTAACTCATGGTTTCTCTCAATAGTATGTATTAGACTATGATGAAACATTTAGTCCAGTGGCAAAACTTACAACCGTACGAGTCCTACTTTCACTTGCAGCCAACAAAGATTGGAATTTGTGGCAGATGGATGTCAAGAATGCTTTTCTTCATGGAGAGCTAGATCAAGAGATCTACATGACCCAACCAATGGGTTTTCAGAGTCAAGATCATCCTGAGTATGTGTGTAAGTTGTGAAAAGCACTCTACGGATTGAAACAAGCACCTAGGGCGTGGTATGGTAAGATTGTTGAATTTTTAACGAAAAGTGGCTATTCAGTAACACCTGCAGATTCTAGCTTGTTTGTCAAAGTCAATGAAGGTAAGCTAGCTATCGTGCTAGTGTATGTGGATGACTTAATCATAACAGGTGATGATGAGGCAGAAATTCTCCAGACAAAGGAGAATTTATCAGTTCTTTTCCAGATGAAGGAACTTGGACAACTTAAGCACTTCCTTGGTCTATAAGTTGATCGCACACACGAAGGAATATTTATGTGTCAACAGAAATATGCTAAAGATTTGTTGAAGAGGTTTGGAATGCTCGAATGCAAGTCAACTTCAACGCCAATGGAACCAAATGTCAAAATGTGTGCACATGAAGGAAAAGATTTAGAAGATGCAACAATGTATCGACAATTGGTAAGTAGTCTGATCTACTTAACCTTGACCCGACTTGACATTTCTTATGCAGTTGGTGTGATGAGTCAGTATATGCAAAATCCAAAGAAGCCTCATTTGGAAGCAGTTCGACGAATACTGAGATATGTGAAGAGTACAATTGACTATGGTCTTTTGTATAAGAAAGGTGAAGACTACAAGTTAGTTGGTTATTGTGATGCTGATTATGCAGGAGATCATGACACCAGGAGATCAACAACTAGGTATGTGTTTAAGCTTGGCTCCAGAACAATTTCTTGGTGTAGCAAGAGACAACCAACGGTATCATTGTCAACCACTGAAGCTGAGTATCGAGCAGTAGCAATGGCAGCTCAAGAGAGTACATGGTTGATACAGTTGATGAATAATCTACATCAACCAATAGATTATGCAATTCCTTTGTACTGTGACAACCAATCGGCAATTCGACTGGCGGAGAATCCTGTTTTTCATGCAAGAACTAAACATGTGGAAGTATAATACCACTTTGTTAGGGAAAAAGTTTTGCAAGAAGAGATTGAGATGAGGCAAATCAAGACAGATAAGCAAATTGCTGACTTGTTTACAAAAAGCTTGAGTGTTGGAAAGTTTGAACATTTCCGTCGTCAACTTGGCGTGATTCAAAGAATGGAGGCTAACATTGAGGGAGAGTGTTGAAAATTCAATATTAGCCTAAATAAGTTCACACCTAAATTAATTTGATGTCATTGCTTACATCAATTTAGTTTTGATGTCATTGCTTACATCAATTTAATTAGGTGAAAATTAAGTATTTTTCTCATGGTTTTAATTTCAATGGTTTAGATTATTTAGTTATTATTTTAATGAGTGGTTTAGATTGCTTCTTGTAACCTATAAATAGCCTACTTGTATTTGAGTTTTATCATCCAACAATCAAAGCTTAATTATAAGCATTTGAAAGCTTTCTTAAGAGTTCTTCCCTTTTGCAATTTTGTGAGATTATTCTAAAGAGAGTTTTTATTCTTCTCGATCAATTAGAGTTTTTACTCTATTTTGATTCTACACTATATGGCTTCAGGCTGGAACAAATCTCATGACACATTTTATGGAGGCAGCGATGCCTCGAGAACTATGAGTTAGTTCATCCAATATTTCAAAACAAATGCATTTTGTTTTCGATTTTGATCGGCATTTAATGTTGAATGATCTGTTGACTATAGGGGGAGCTTGTGGATATGGGAACTTGTATGCAACTGGATATGGAACCAGAACTGCTGCTTTAAGCACTGCTTTGTTCAATGATGGTGCTTCACGTGGACAATGCTACAAGATCATTTGTGATTATCAAGCAGACCCCAAATGATGCATTAAAGGAAGATCAGTCACCATAACCGCAACAAACTTTTCCCTCCTAACTTCGCTCTTCCCAACAATGCCGGAGGTTGGTGTAACCCTCCCCTCCAGCACTTTGACATGGCTCAGCCTGCTTGGGAAAAGATTGGTATCTACAGAGGTGGAATTGTGCCTGTTTTGTTCCAAAGGTAGCATCCCCATAACATTTCCTTCCCTCAACTTTTATAATTTCACATAACTACATGTAACGTTTGGGGCGTTATTAATGTTATCATACAGAGTTCCATGCAAGAAACATGGTGGAGTAAGGTTCACAATCAACGGGAGAGACTATTTTGAGCTTGTTTTGATCAGCAATGTAGGTGGGGCAGGATCCATCCAATCGGTATCCGTAAAGGGCTCTAAAACCGGGTGGATGTCAATGTCAAGAAACTGGGTAGCTAACTGGCAATCCTATGCCTATCTCAATGGCCAATCGTAGTCGTTCAAGTTCACCACAACCGATGGCATGACCCAACCATTTCCTGATATTGTGCCAGGAAATTGGAGGTTTGGGCAGACTTTCTCTAGCAAAGTACAATTCTAAGTTCACTAAAACCTTGGCTTTAGTTTCCGGAAGAGGCGTGCTTATTATTTTACAAAACATAAGCTGCCCTCCATATCGAAATCAGGCTACTGGTGGAAATGAAATCCTTGAACTCAAGGCTGCTGCATTAGAGGACAATGCTTGAAATTATTTTTAGAATCATAATAAACTGTCAATAGGAAGTGCAACAAAACATTGCAGCTTCACAGTTTTACCGTTTCTCATGCATGTGATAAATCAACCGACAAACCTGTGGTTAAATCAAGTTTTCTCCTAAAGCAGTACTTGTAATTGCGTCTATAATATATCTATGGCTGAATAGGCCCAACACTATTTCATTTTCCTTTTAAGGGTTCTATAGAGTCTCAAACTCTGATAACCCATTATATGGAATCAAGACTTGAGGGCGCTTCTCAACTACTACCACTAAAACTATACATAACTTGTGAGGCGCTTAAGGAGTTCTGTTATTAGCTAAATGCTAGGCTGTTGACAATGACGCTTAAACAGTTTGTTGAAGCTGTAGACTCTTGAATCTTGACCGAACTTGCGTTAAAACAAGGGATTACATTATTTGGTTCAACCCCACCATACCAAACCTTTCCCTTTCTTATGGCTCTGTAGGGTCACCAAGCTTATTATTTTAGCGAAATGCTTTGCTTAAGTCTTAATCGATCATCTCTCGGCAAAGAAACTACTGCTGCTGATAGCTCTTCTAATGACTTCGGTTATTATTATAGATTTTACTTTGATCGATGCCGAACTTTTTAGGGGAATGAGTGCATAAATCATATGAATAATTATTACGTTACTGTGACTGTGGAGGTCAACATGAAAAACTCGATTAAAAAGTTCGAAGCTGATATGACTTATCTTTACGAGCATGCTTCTGTTCTACTCCACTAAACAAGGGTTCTAGATCACCAAATATGCTAACTACCATTATCGATAGTAACAACTCCAATCGAAAGTCTCATGTGCCTTGCTATAAATAAAACATTTTCCCTGTCAAACTGGCATAGCTAATCAGTTAATCTACAAACCAGATTGTGGGTTCTACGATTTGTTTCAACTATGGCAGCCGTAGTTGCACTTGCTTTCGTTTTTCTTTTCGTGTTACCGATTTCATCTTGTGTCAGAGCATTGAGCTCGAACTACTATGACCACACATGTCCTCAGCTCGAGTCTATTGTTGCAAGTTCAGTCAAGAAAGCAATGTCGAATGACGAAACCGTTCCAGCCGCCCTACTTCGAATGCACTTCCATGATTGCTTCATCAGAGTATAGACTTACACTAGTGCCAGTAGTTGTTAAATAAGGCTGTCCATGTCTTTTCTTTGGTTCTCTTACGAAATAACATGCGCTAAGAACATTAGAATACATAGTTTAGGGTCTGATATAACTTACCCTGTGCTTTTCTTCTAATTATAAGGGCTGCGATGCTTCGGTGTTGCTGAACTCCAAAGTGAAAAACAAGGCAGAGAAAGATGGACCTCCTAACATATCATTGCATGCATTTTATGTCATTGACGGGGCAAAGAAGGCTTTGGAAGCTTCATGCCCTGGCGTAGTCTCTTGTGCCGATATCTTGGCCCTGGCTGCCAGGGATGCAGTTTTTCTGGTAAGTCGCATTAACATCAGTAGTATTTGCCGATTTCTGGATATTAATCCAATTGAATCATTTTTTCCCTCGTAAAATAACATCTGTTATATATAGTCCGGTGGCCCGACATGGGATGTGCCTAAAGGAAGGAAGGATGGAAGAATTTCCTTAGCAACTGAGACTAGACAGTTACCAGCTCCCACATTCAATATATCCCAACTACAACAGAACTTTGGTCAGAGAGGTCTCTCCGATGAAAATCTAGTTGCTCTCTCCGGTATATATCTCTCTATCAACATCTTCCAACTTCCGTGTCCTTCAAAGTTTCTATTTAATCATGTTTATATATGCATGTAGGTGGTCACACACTGGGGTTTTCCCATTGCTCTTCGTTCCAAAACAGAATCCACAATTTCAATGCCACCCTCGAAGTCGACCCGACGATGCAACCGTCGTTTGTGGCTCGGTTGAGGAGCGTGTGTCCGGCACACAACAAGGTAAAAAACGCAGGCTCACCACTGGATTCTACCAACTTCGTATTTGACAACGCATACTACAAGCTGCTGCTCCAGGGGAAGAGCATATTCTCTTCGGATCAAGCTTTACTCACCAACCCGAAAACGAAAGCATTGGTTTCGAAATTTGCAAGCTCCCAAAATGCTTTTGAGAAGGCTTTTGTTGATTCCATGATCAAAATGAGTAGCCTGACCGGTGGGAATGAGATCAGGCTAGACTGCAGGGTGGTGAGGTGATTTTGAAGTATGAAGAAAGTTAATCCAGTCATTCATTTCCATTTATCTTTTTAGAGATATCAATATGATCAGAAATAAAAAAATAAAAATTGAAGCGAGTTTGCATGCATGATTTACCTGCAGTCGAAGTGGACGGATAGGAATTTGTATTTGTGTATCATGTGATTTAATGATTAAAAAGAAAGCAGTGTTGTGTTTGGTTCTCAGAATGGGTATTAACATTTAGGGTAAATTATATGTTTAGTACCAAAACTATAAGTTTTGATTCGTTTTAGTACCTCAACTTTTAATTTTTCAAAATCATATCTAAATTTTAGTTTTCGTTTTGTTTTAGTACCCTTCCGTTAAAAACTTTAGTTTTGTTTCATTTTAGTATTCTTTCAAAATTTAACGTTAAGTTTTGAAAAAATTGAAAGTTTAGCTACTAAACGCATTAAGTTTTTTAACGGCGGGATACTAAAATAAAATGAAAACAAAACGTTAGGAATTTTGAAAAAGTTAAAAGTTTAGGTACTAAAACATACCAAAACTAATACTTTAGGTATTAAATGTATAGTTTACTCTGACGTTTAAAAGTACTTAACCAACTGATCCTCGAGCAGCAGACGCCATCCCTTTGATTATATGTATCTTTCAATAATCTGAATTTTGCTCTTAAATATTAGAAACAAAAATGAGTGAATTTTTTAAATTATAAAAAATTAAAAAATATTAATGCATTAATTTATATAGTATAAACATTTGTTATAATAAAACTTTTTAATTTTACATCTTTTTAGTATTATTGAACAAATTTAGTTAATTCCTTATGTTATGCGTTGTATCTACAATAATATCATCTCTTTCGATGGAGTGCCCCCTTCTATTTCTACATCTAGGATCCGACTTGTATCATTGATAATAATAGGAACTGAACCATTATGACAAAGAAAAGTTTGATTCATAGGGAGAAGAAGAGGCAAAAATTAGAAGAAAAATATCATTTGATTCGTCTATCCTCAAAAAAAGAAATAAGTAAAGTTCCGTTGTAGAGTGAGAAATGAAGTGATTGACACAGGGGCTCCTCTAAGTGTTTCAGTCGACGAATCGACCCTAGGACGATTTTTTAACATGCGTGGGGAGCCCGTTGATAATTTAGGTCTTGTAGATACTAGCACAACATCCCCTATTCATAAACCTGCGTCCACTTTCATACAATTAAATACAAAATTATCTCAATAAAAATAAAAATAAATATTAAAAAATAGATTTCTTAAAAAATCAGAGATAATCTCAATCTTTTTTATATTCTATGAACTACTCATAATTCACATAAACTATCGAAAAATAATACATTTCATTAAATATATTAAATTTGAATAAATGATTTATGTTTACATTTCTTTTAACTTTTAAAATTATATTCATGTTAATTTATTTAAAATTAATCATAAAAAATGAATGATTTTTTTTTATTAAGAAAAGAAAGTAACTAGCTATTACAAAGTTGTGTTATGAGCAATCTTTCTATCTGGTTGCTCTTGCAATTCTATTGGAGTTTCCACGTATATGTTGACCTCATCCAAACTACTCAGGCCATGTTAGCCAAACCATCAGCAACACAATTCCTCTTCCTGGGAACATAGCATAAACGAAGAAACCAACCATGCTAAATCAAATCCTGCACGTACGATATTATTGTTGACATATCACTTGCACCTGGCTCTCGAGCAAGGACATCAACTGCTTCCATGTTATTTGTTTTGACGAAAAGTTTACGAACGTTTCTTTCCCAAGCCAATTAGAGACCAATGTAAATGCCCCATAATTCAACATCTAGCACTGACACAAACCAAGACGCTTTGAAAAACTGGCAATCCAGTTACCTGGATGGTTACAATAACCCCCCACAAGCTGCCCATCCCGTTACACTTCGCATCACCCCATCCAAATTCAATATGAACCAGCTTTCACGCGGCACAGTCCATCGTATATTCATGTCCACCCTGGGAATGTGAATAAGTGATACTATGTAAAATGCTATAGTTTTAACGCAAATGTACGTATCTTGTGAAGTAATAAAAGTGGATACATGGGTTGTATCGGATGTCGAACCCACAAAGAGAATTATGTTACAAAAGAGTTATGAAAAGATATTCAAGTTGAAAGAATTAGAAGCAAGCTAGTGGTTAAAATTAAAATTCATATTTAAAAATACCAGGCACTGCTGCAACATTAGTGAGAGCAATAGGTCAAGGATTTAATGTATTAGAAATATATTTGGTAGTTTCTACTACGAGTATATCATGAACCAAATGTTTATTATCTAACAATGATTTAAACTATCTAATAGACATAAATCTACTTTCTACTTCCCTATCTATAACGAAGAGCAAGAGTAGAAAAGAAATCTTTGACCGTCGATGCTAGTTGACAAAGCTACCAAGCTATTGCAGTGCTCCCCAGCAAGGGACTTAAGCTATCATGAATAATCAAAGTAGTAGAGAAAAATATTTGGAGGTAGGAAAACTGATATCAAATGATGCAAAGAGTTCTCCAATTTATAGGTTAAGGAATTCAACCTTCAACCAATGGGTTTCCTCCACTTTTCAGGTTATTTTTGACCGAGTGACAACTGCCCTTTCCAATTCCAGAAGGTTCCCTTAATCGCTTGATGAGTCATCGGTTGCTACAGTGTATGCACAACATTATCTTTAACTTTAAGCAATGCTACAACATTAGTGTATCCTTTTTCAGCAATAAAACAAAAACCAGCCTAAATCACCTCAGCTAATTCCCATGATGCAAATAATGCAAAAATTATATACAAATAATCCTAATATGCTCCTAATGATGCTAAAGTTCAAACTTAACCTAGGTAAAAGAATCCTAAAAATAACCCTTTAGGAGAGTTATTACACCTCAAACCTAAGTATTTGCTTGTCCTCAAGCAACAACATGCATGCAATTGAACTAAAGCCAAAGTAATGCCACATAATAATATCATGAAACCAATCAGAATTTTTTAATTTCCTTTTTTTCAGCCCTCAGAACATTGCTGCAGGAGTGCATAAAACATATATATGATCTTAAATTAAGGAATACAATTTCAACTTAGTAAAATAAAAATCCATAGAGTGTAGTAGTGTGCAAGCTAGGTGTATCCAATCAATACTTAGCTAAGTTAGAAAAAATTATTTCTACTCAATTAATGATTTTAAATGCTACAACAATCTTCCTCCGACTATGTTGGAGCTATTACTAGCTTTTCCAACTTATTTCCTATTGTATTTTTTTACGATAATGCTATAGCATCTAATAGAGAAATGAGATTTAAATTTAAAAAGTTTCTAACATCTCTAAGTATTGAGAACATGCACATGTTGAAAAGTTTTTATGAACTCGAACTCTAACGAGTCTCTTCAGCATTCCCCTAACATTTCAAAGTATAAATTTTTTTCATCATTGGGTATCATAAAAATTTCTTTTAAAAATTTCATTGATTTTATAACATTAATCCTACAACATTACAAATGTATTTCCTATTTACTGTAACAAAATGCTAAAATCATGCAAATAATGTCAAACAACATACATTCTTAATTACTACCTTAATTGACACAAAATATAAATTTCACAAAAGAAACAATACTAATCAACATAACACAAGAAACATACCAGACAACACACCCCCAAACCTAAGGGATGCATTATCCTCGATGCATACATAAAATAAAAACAAGAAATGAAAGAAAAAAGTCATGAGAAAGGGAGAACAAAACTCCCCTAAGTGGGCTTCCTTGGGTTTTTGCGAGGGCTGATTACATTGGGATGAAGGCGATTTGCAGTCACCTTGGTCTTCAATGAACTCTTCTGCTCTGGGCTAGTTGACGTTAACATGGTCTTAACCACAATAGCATCAAGAACAGGAGTATTCGATGCTGTAGCAATATCCTTTGTCTTTGGTTTGGTTTGCATTTTTGCTCCTCTAGGGGTTCCTTAATGCCGTCAACTTACGCAACATTAGATTTCTTAGGTGGATTAACTGCAGCAACTGTCTCAACCTCTTAAATGACATTGTGATGATCTGATCAATATCTATATCATGCTCTGCAGATGTTGTAGCATCTTTCATAACTATATCAACATTTAAATTCAACAATTATTGGGCATCTTACTTATCCTTGCTTTCTTCCGGTTTCAAACTCTCTTCTTTCTCTTGGTGGTTGGTGCGTTCCTCATCAACTTTTTCAATATTGACATCCTCAGAGTCGGCAGTAAATATCTTAGTAGATGTTGCCGTATCAGCCACACTGTCATCCTCTTCATCATTCTCCTCAGAATTAACGTCCTATTCTACCTCGTCTGTCACTGTATCTGTATCTGTATCCAGGGCATTATCCTCCTCATCTTCGTCTCCTTCAGTGCTAGTAGAACTGACTGCAACATCTGACATTGCTCGTGGAGTTAAATCATCCAACACGAACATTGGGAAGGTAGGGAATATGATGTCTTCTTTCTTAAACTGCTTAGATATCCCATGTTGAAATGACTTGTCACGCTCGTGGGCATATTGCCAGAGTTGTACTTGGGCATTATGCATATGAGACTATCATGCTTAACTGCTATCGATGTTATAGCATTTTGTAGTTTCAATATAGTAGGGCTTGCCTGCGGCATCATGGTTTGTGTAACATCAGAAGCAACAGTGCCTTCATTGGTTCCCTCATCACGCTAGTTTGTGTCCAACCCTTCATGCAAAAAAGTTCACTTGATAGACGCTGACATGATAGTAGTATGATTCTTAAACAACTGATCAGAAGACAAAAATAGGTACTTGTGCTTGTTTGCACAGTGAGGTGATCAGAGGGGAAAAATACACCAGTCTTTTAGGTACAAGCACATAATTCAGCAGATGTAATTTTCCCAACATCAATATGGCGTCCAAACAAAACAGAATGCAAAAGTATAATCTTGTCCTTAGTGATTGCTGAATAAGGCATTGTGGGCATTAAACGAGTTCGAAGGAAAGCAAACCATACCCTTATTGATCGATGAAGGTTTAGCCTATTGATGGTGTACACACCGGTTGTTGATTTGTCCCATGATTTACCAAGTAAACATACATCAATTCCATCTTGATCTAACTCAGCAGCAGTGGTGAGGTTGTTGACAAATATCGTATGTTCACACTTAGCTTCCTTTATGCCGAGAAGTATGTTGATAAGCTTTGCTCACCAACACACCATTTTCTCATGGGAAAAAAACTAAGGTTTTTTTCTCATATGTGAGATTACTATAAAACTCCCAAATGACTTATTGATCTACCTTGTAACACCCTTAACCTGTAAACATGTACTATTACAAGTTAAGGATTTCAAAACATTACTTAACCTAAAATGGGTAAAACTTTTGGTTCTTTCACAAGTTTCCAAATTATAACATTTATTATAAATAATAATTCAGAGAAACCTATTTCAAATCCGGTTTCCAAAAAGTAACAAGAAGTTCTGTTTTGTTTCTTATAACAAATAAATCTGTCTAATTTAAAATCCCATTTAAAATACCTTTTAAAGCATGGTTTAGTATCATAATATTTGTTATACTAAATTATAGTTAATACTAACCATACCTCTAGTTTACAAACACTTCTTACTTGTATACATGTCAGCTAGAAAATTTTGAAACATAGTCGGATGTCATTATTGTTACCTGTAAATATTCCTTAGTGATTGATGCTAAGCTCAACTCCCTACCCCTTCCCGCTTTAATTTACCTACGCATGAAAATCATCACACGCTAAGTATGCACTTAGTGAGGCAATCAATAGAAATATATTCAAGGCAATGTAACAAATAAATGTAAATAATAATATTCAATGCATTATGATCACTTTACTTGAATTTCCAATCATGCTACTAATATGAACATGATATGAATCACATATAAATTTCTTACCAATATACTTGTCATGTATTCCATAAGCTCATAAGCATATTCACCTGTTTATCATTTATTAACCAATAAACCATAGCACAAAATATAAACCTACGAGGA